GTGATGGCGCGTGTTTGTTTAAACTCGGCATGTTTTTGTCTCCGTTTCTTCGTGAGCCGGGCTAAACAAAGCAAAAGCAATTCACGGGGTGTGAGGGAGTACCGATTTCCGAGTGGGAACGCAGTTTTGTTTTATGAAGGAGAAGGACGTTTTCCACTCGCTCCAGGAGGATGTGCACAAAGTAGCGAGCGGGGCGGGCGTGTGTGTACAATTTCATCATGTTTTATCCCCACTTCTTCGTGAGCCGGGCTGAACCAAATAACAGCAGGTCGGGGGATGTGAGGGGGTACCGATGGCCGAGTGGGAGTACAACTGTTTTTACGGAGGAGATGGATATGTGCCACTCCTTCCAACGGAGGCGTATGAAGTACGTAGCGTTGGGGGGGGGGTTCCACTACCACGGCATGTTTTTTCTTCAAATTCTTTGTGAGTAGGGCGGACCCATATCACACCGGGCCGCCCGAAGGGGGCATTGCGCGTGACTGAGTGCAGCATGGATATGAACAGGCTGCCTGGTGGTCGTTGCAAGGTGTGTGCTTGGCGTAGCACTCGGAGGGTCGATCGAACATGCATATGTGCATCCGCGACTGCGTTCGTCTCGTTCTGTTTTCCCTGTTCTTCGTTGGCTTTCTGCAAACAGAAGCAGCCAGCAGCGATGTTAGATGACGGAGTGGGATATCTCGTGCCAGACATGCCATAGATAACGGCATGCCGCCAGATTGCTTTGGGTTTGCTCTCTGCGACGGCCGAGGGTGGTAGCGGCGCCACGATGTCAGAAGACGGCGGTGTGTAGGATGCATCACTACTTTCTCGCCATACCTGGTGGAGCTGGTGAGGTAGACAACTTTATTGTGGTATTTTGCGGAGCGGCAGAGTGATTTCTTCTTCTTTACGGTGGTCGGATGTCTACCGAGAGCGTGGGGTGTCGGTAGACGTTCGGGGTCCCCTGCCAGGCCAAAGCTTTCAAGTAGGCGCGTCGTTTGTTGGAGGTCAACCCTTGTTGGTATGTTTCTCGGTGTCGTCACATTTGCTCGCAAGCTGGCTGATGGGTGTTGTCGTTGAGGTCGTGTTTGCCAGTATTTTCCTTGCTCGAGGTGCCATTTTCGCTGGGGTGAAGGAGGGAGGCAAGGCGCCGTTGCTGGGACAGTGGCAGCGTTTTCCCCGCGCGACCGTTGGACGATTTCGGGCCGACGTTCGGGTTGAGGGTTTGTGAGGAGGGCGGGGGCAACGGACTCGTTCAGCCGTGAGCAGCTTGGCGGCCATCGACGCACCCGGTGATGCAGGAGCACCTCCTCCATGTTCTAGAAAGCCCGACTCTCCCCTGAGTTCCCGTCGCGCAGCTCGTGCGCATGTTTATGCAGTACGGTGCTGTTAGCGACCGGGGACTCCAACGAGAAGCTGGTAAATATTGAACGGAGGACGCTTCTCGACCGCTGACGCCTGGGTTGCGTTGGAGTACGAGCCTCGAGCAAGCAGGACGCATCCCGTGGGGGTGGCTTCATCCGCCGCGGGGTACGTACGCAAGCCTGACCGGTTCGAGCGGCGAGTATTGCCGGCTGCACCGGTCGTACTGTTGGACTGCGCTAGGTCGACCTGCAGAGGATGTCGCGGCTGGTAGATTTTCTGCCGAAGAACCGTAAACCCCTTTTGCTGATTTCGGCGGCCTCTTTCCAAGACCCAAGTGCAGTGCGGTGCTGATTTACGATAAGGGACTCGACGAGATTGGCGTAATAACTCGGAAGGGGGCCGCTCCATTATTGGCGGTACGGCTTATTCCACGTGCCCTTCGCGTTGGGATAGAACGGCATCACGACGACCGTCTTCGTTTTCTCTTTGCAATTGAACCCTGTGTTGGTGACTCTCTCAGAATGCTTTCAACGGGGTGGGTCTTGAAGCTGGGGTGGAGGGAGGGGCAGATGCAGGCGAGCTGTGAGACGAAGAAGGGGGTTGATTTTCGCATTTTTAGCTCAATACTTTCCAATGTTGAACGTATGGCACCTGAAAATATGCCGCCATTCTTAGCTTTTGCGCGTGTAGGCTAGAACTGGCGCGTCCTCACACCTGGCCAGCGGGTATACCTACTACCCGAAATACCTTCCAGTCGAGAAGGACGAATGCGCAGATATCTGACTTGTTAGCATCCTGACATTTTGATCGACACGTGGAAGAAAGCAACTGACTGGCGATTGCTTCGATGTTTGGCCGGCTTGTAGGAGGGCAGGGGCGAAGAGAAGGGAGGTCTGGCGGCGACACCACAGGCGTATCTGTTTTCTGTTTGTGTGGGGTTCAGGGAGCGGGTTAAGGTGGACGGACCCGAGTCTGTTTGTCGCACGTAAACGCGCTCAACAAACAATAAAGTGGGGAAGAAGTAAATAACTTGGGACCCAGAGCGTCCTCTGCTTGGTAACAGTAGCTCCCGCCGAGGTACCTATTTCGAGAATCGTGGGTAGCAGGACGTTGCAGGGACGTTAAGCCTGGAACAATCTCGTTCTGGGGACGTTCGGGGCATTCTTGATTCAATTGCTGCTGCATGAATAGAGAAGGTGGGGGTGATGTGGGGGTATGGGAAGATGAGGGGAGGGGGGAGGGGGTGAGATGAGGGGGTGAG